ACATTACACACTGAAAACACATGTATCAAACATTACACACTGAAAACACATGAATACAAAATTACACACTGAACACACATGAATACCAATTTACACACTGAAAACACACGTATAGAAAATTACAAAATCTCTATTTAGTTTTTAAATTGAAAACAATAAAATGCACTGTATACATAAATAAGTTGAGATGTTAATATGTGAGTAAGAATGGATATTCAAACCTCAGGTAGAGTTCTACAGATTATAACATACATGGCCACCTTAGAAATACTTCTACAGATTATAATATACCTGGCCACCTTACACATACTTCTACAGATTATAACATACCTGGACACCACAGGTAGTGTTCTACAGATTATAACATACCTGGACACCTTAGACATACTTCTACAGATTATAACATACCATGCCACCTCAGGTAGAGTTCTACAGATTTTAACATACCTGGCCACCTTAGACATACTTCTACAGATTATAATATACCTGGCCACCTTAGACATACATCTACAGATTATAACATACCTGGCAACATTAGACATACTTCTACAGATTATAACATACCTGGCCACCTCAGGAAGAGTTCTACAGATCATAACATACCCGGCCACCTTAGGTAGTGTTCTACAGATTATAACATACCTGGCAACATTAGACATACTTCTACAGATTATAACATACCTTGCCACCTCAGGTAGAGTTCTCTGTACACATTTTACTGTCTTCTTCATCAAATTTGAATTGGCTATCAGGAAGAAAGGGCGCACAATTCTTCGGATTCTTTTTGTCTGTTTGTGTTTAAAAGTTGTAACAACCAATTATCAAATAGAATTGATGATAACTTGGTCTGTCTGAGAATCAATTATATATCTACAGCCTAAATCAATAATCAAATTTCTTTGTTTATGGTTGGTTTTTAGCTACAGTTGTCTATAGGCATGATCTGCATTAATCTAAGCATAAGTGTATTATGTATTCAAGAATATGTTTCTTATAAAGAATAACCACTGTTAGTAAAAGAATCATGCCAGTATTAACAGTACAAGAATCCATGCGGACAGTCTGTGATTTTCTTTACATTTAATAAGTTATTGGAGTACAATAATACAAAAGAAACAGTATTTTATGACTTCAGAACAACATCATGAACAGTATTGCTAATTTCAGAAATAAACAATAATGTAGATAAATAATGAAAGAGGGTGGTAGGCAATTCAATCAGAAATGAATGAGTTTTGACAAAATCCTGATTTCATTCATCATTCCCAATTAACTTATTTTTTTCCGATTTAATGGTTGAAGAAGTCTCTAAACATTCTTCAACTTAACACTAGCTCTTTTGTTGGTAATACTGATAGTCCTTGTACCTCTGTACAACTCATACCGATGGTGACCATCCAGTCTATCAACGAGAAAGTCAGAACCACTAGGGCAGCAACCAGCCACTTCTTCTTCAGCACCTCTACCTTCCCAACCAAATGGATCTGTTGTGGACAAAAACAGGAGTATTTGAAAGCAATGTTCTGACCTGGTATTGCATATTTTGTATTTATTTTACTACAAATTTGAATTTCCTATTTGCCAGAGAGTATAAAAAAAACCATTACTAATTTTACCTTTATACAAACATCCACTGTCAGTAACAACAGACAGACAAGCTCAATTCCCTCAGTGACACCACAGGGAAGTGTGATCCTGTCGCCACGGTAACGAATGTCAGAGGTCCAGGTGAGAGAAGATGGGAACTCAAAAAAGGCCAGCAGGTGAAGTACACAGATGACAATTGTCCTGAACCTGGAGGTGAAAGGTCAAAAGGATCTGTAGACATGATTGTCTGTTGCAATAATTGTGCAGTTATAAGATACTTGTTTTGAAATAATGAAATCTAAGATAAACCAAATACACATAGTACTTGTTTTAGTACAGTGTATATCAGTGCTTGTGGAAATTAAACATAAGAGTTGATTCACTTCTCAGGGCCTGTTGTAAATATCACTATTTTCTGGATAGGCACATACTGCTGACTGAGACAATAAGTTACTAGGGATTTTTACCAGCTTAACAGAAATCATTACTCCACATTTAAGGAACTTCATAGTCAACATCTGGTCATCAACAGTGTGATTTTAGTGAATCTTGACTAGACATGATTATTGTTCATGCTTTCTTAAGTTTTAACAGGAGACATCATGATGACCACTAACTGCGGGAACCATAGCTTCCAGGCCCGATCGTTTTATTACTTTTGTTTATTGTTATCGGACAACAATAAAAAAGTAAAATAATAAAACGTTCGGGCCTAGAAGCTAGGGTTCCTGCAGCTAGATGACCACCACAGGTGGTTCTCAGTTTTCTTTGAATGTGGAAAGAGGGGATGGTACTATGTCCACTTTCAATTCTGCCCTTTTGATTTGATGCGAAGGTCAATTCATAATACCTACACTTCAATCGGTTTAGAGTGATAAATCCTGTATAATCGTAGAGCATCTTTGTCAATCTTGTGACGTATGTCTCTGTGCTGCAAACACAAATCAGAATCAGAGAATATTAATTAAGTTAGGAATTTAAGCACAAACATATGTAATTATGGAGGGTACTGAAAATATACTGATTTAAAGTGATTTTAATATTAGAATATGTTTTGCTCTGAAACTGGTATTCAAATTCGTAAAAAAAAGAACAGAAATTCTAAATAGAATGTTTTCACTTCGAAATGGAAAGTTTCATATAGATCTAAAATTTGTCATCACTGTAATACACACTTACTGTAATTATAATACATAAGTAAACTTACCTTTGCAGCATCTTCAATAAAGACCACAGCTTGAAGTATGCTTAAATCTTCTGAAAATAAAAAGTTAAACAAAAAAGTCAAAATATGACCAAGATGCTGACATGTACTACGCAGTCACATGGCATCATACAAATAATGGGAACAATAATCACAAGGAAATCAAAACCATGATTCGAGCTGAAGTTCTAATTGAGTGCCATTTTTTTTAAAGGTAAGGTATAAATTCAAACACATTACATGGGATAAAATACTTTTGAAAGGATCTTTGTCATCCTCTCAATCCCTTCCATTAGAATGACCTAACTCTTTATCTCTCTAATCAGCAATATATTCTATTCATAATTTGTAACACAGAATGTACTGATGAGAAGTGCTAACATCACATTAAGTTAGACTATAGCATGCTTAAATTTATGGTACCACTAATCAAAACTTCTCAAGACAACTAAATTTGGAAATACATAATTTCATTAAATTATTCATTTGTGAAATCATTTTATCATTGGAACAACTTTCACAAATCTGTGACAAAATTGAGTATCAGGAAGACATGTACATGTAGTACATTGTACATAGTGAAGGATAAACATTTTATGGTAATATTTGTGAAGCAATTAAGGAACTACCTTGTAATGTGATTGGCATAGCGTCATGTTGTGATCAGTATGCTTTTAGGTGGTGTTGGATATATAACAGGTGTCAGGGAGTGTTGTTACAGTAAGGCATTTTCTGGTAACCACTTTTATCTTTACATTGACAAAAACTGATAAATTCATATAATTTATATGAGAACAATATCACAGATATAAAGTGAAGGGAGACAATGCCATTGAAAGAATGACATTATACAAAAAACTACCCAGTAGACTACCTCATGATTGACATGTATTTATAGCTACATTTACAGATCAGTCCTCTTACATGTATATTAGAATTGCATGTCCACTGTGTGAATTCCACACACATAAATAATAACTCATACTCAGGACACTGCCTCCATAATGTATCAAAGTGGTTGCATTATGGGTGTGCAAATTGATGTTCAATCAAAACAACCGCCCTTGATTGATTCCGGCTGGTAATAACATATTTTACATTATAATTCATCATACATGTATATCAATGCATATGATGTCACAATAAACAGTAGCTAATTTCATTGCAATTATTTATATGTTATAGTGTTGGAAAGCTTCAAAGGCCAAGTGCAATGAGAATTTAATTACCAACAACCAAAACAAAGATTGACAATTTGAGTATTCAGCCGTATGAACACAGCTTTTGTACACTGTACAACTATAAAGTGCTATATGCGGTGCTGAAATTGAAAGTTCTCAGCTGCACTCAGATGCATGTATCGTTAAATGACACCCAGTTGAAACACTCAATTATAAACGCCTTGACAAGGGTGAAAGTACGGGGGAAAACCGGCACTGAAAGGGTGTGCTTGTGTACGTAATAGTGCAATAGTTTGCAATATGTGTAAAATCTAAAACGTGGTACCTTCATAATTTTCATCATCTGATACCTGGGATTCAGACCTGTTCACAGCCAAGCTGACACCTGGATTAGTATATGTATATGGTTCAGCATGCTCTAGAACTGAAGCCATAGTGTTAGTGGAATTGTAAGATAAAGTATCACCATTTGGGAATTTGTTGTCCTGAGTATTTTGACAAGTGATCAGAGTAACACCATTTACATGACAAGCCCCATTGAATTGTTTGCCGAGTTTAACATTAAATTCATCCTGCGGAATCCAGTCACCAGAGGATGATGACTCGCTCGTCATCCTGTTTTGCGTATTATGTTCACCTTTTTCTCGATATGCGTATTCAGCGGAAGACTTATAGTTGACATTGTTGCGATACTCTTCTTCGCTTTCATTACCGTCGTCTCCGTATCCGTCATCCATTCTAACGTAAAACAAACTAGTCGGGGTCAGCGGTGGGTCAGTTTCTAGCCTTTCCATTCGATGATAAGGTTCAGGAGATATCGTTTCCTAAATAAACAAAAGTAAATCAGCTGACAGCAAAGTTACCGGAAACGCCCCTTGTAACAGGAAGTAGTACACTACTCTAAAAAACGGACGGCAATTATATCCGGATAAAGACTGCTGTTTAACGTCCTTTTAACAGCTTATGTCAGTTAAGGACGAGACTACTAACGAAGAGCGGCAAAACATATAGTAATGGACATAGGTACTGCACACTTAAAAGAAAATAAAACTTTAAGACTTTATAAATGAAACGTTCATGATGAAAAAAAATTGCTTCTTTATTTATTTTAATATATTAATATATTTCCGGTTCAGGACTTATACATAAACTCTTATTAGGCATATAATATATACAATTAGACAATTATATGATTGCAGCTCTGTGATTTAAAAATGTTCTCGTTTTTTCCAGTGGTTGTCAAGTTTATTTTTAAATTTGTTAATATTATTTGCTGAAGTAACATATTCAGGTAGTTTATTCCATGTTGATGCCGATCTCATTTTTAATCATGTATGGTTGAAGATATAGTTTTTGAGTTTACTCGACGGCCGTATCGTTGAGCGGCGTCTTCCCATAACACTGCTTCATTGTGTTATTTGTGTAACGTCAAACATTATTAGGTTCTGTTTTATGATTACTGCTTGAAAAGCAATCTGAAATTTAATTAAGATAAACGAATAAACGAAAAAATACTATTTATAATGCAACAGGTCCAACGGGTCTTAACGCTTACATGATTACAAATCACAAAAATGTCTTAGCCATTTAGAGTCGACCACACTAATAATCTTAGATTTTCTTATTGGTACAGAATGTAACAAAACTTGTTGGGGACATCATAAGGAACATTTGTACCAAGTTGTACCAAGTTGTACCAAGTTGTACAAACAGATTCTTTATAAGAAGTCGAGCATGTTTCAGCTAATCAGATGTAGCCATTTTGAATTTTTATCGGCACGAAAGTAAAAACCTTGTTTGGAACCTTAAGAACGTTTGTACATGTGAAGTCAATCACTTCATCATTCTTAAGAAGAAGTCGAAATGTTTCAGCCAATCAGATGCTAGGTCAGCAATCTTGTGTTTTCTAATCGGCATAAAAGTTTGATCACTTGTTGCACAATGACCACATCAGAAATATTTGTAACAGTTATTCACCTCAGTATTCAGAAGCATTCGAAAATGTCTCAACTAATCAGAGGCCAGGACAGCCCTCTTGAGTTATTTGATTAGTACTTATAGTTAAGACGCTTGTTGGGGACGTCATTAAGAACGTGTGTACCAAATCTAGACTCGATTGGTACAGCCGTTCTTGAGAAGAAGTCGAAAATGTCTCAGTCAATCAGATACTAAGACCGCTTTTGTTTGGAATATCGGATTGGCACGAAAAGTTAGAATAGAACACGTGTTGGGGACCTCATGTATGGAACATTTGTAACATGGTTTAAGTCATTCGCTTCAGACTTTTTTGAGAAATATTCAATAATATCTCAGCCAATCAGACGCTAGACAACCATCTTGAATTTTTTGGATCGGCACCAATTGTAAGAACACTTGTAGGGGTCCCATAAGATACATTTATACCAAGTTTAAAGTCAATTGCTTCGGCCATTCTTGAAAGGAAATAGAAAATGTCTCAGTCAATCTGATGCTAGGGCAGCAATATTGGATTTGGGATTGGAATGCAATGTAAAAATATTGAACTGTTGGGGACCTCATATGAAACATTTTTACCACGTTTTATAGTCAATCACTTTGGTTATTCATGTCATGAAATCAAAAGTGTCTCATCTAATCAGATTCTGGGGTAGCCATCTTGCATTTTTGGATGTGCACGAAAAGTATGAACATTTGTTGTGGACCTCATAAGGAACATCTGTACCAAGTTGAGTCAATCAGTGCAGCCGTTCTTGGGAAGAAACCGAAAATCTCAGTAAAGCAGAGACCAGCGCGGCCATGTTGACTTTCGGATTGGCATTAAAAGTATAAACTCTTGTTGGTGACCTCATAAAGACCATTTGTGCTAAGTTAAAAGTCAATCACTTAGGCTGTTCTTGACCAAGCTCTTCGTTGCTAAACTAGTGACTGCGTCCCTAAGGGCTATATATACCACATCACTGTAAATGCTAGCTTTGCGGTAGGCACTGGCCTAGCGTATTAGTCAAGCAATGTTGAGTATTGTAAGTGGCTGGATGGGTGCTCGTCTGCACGTTACATCGCCACATATATGGGGATGACAAATAACTAGGGAGAGGCGTGAATCCCACCGCTGCCACCATTCTAGAAAGCTGGAAAGCAACTAGTATAGAACGTCGAGCGTGGCGAGTGGCTGGAAGGGTGCCCGCCAGAACGTTACACTTAGTGGCAGCGTAGTAACCTTATGGTATTATGTAAGATCGATCAGTTCATACAGTTAGGGAATGTGCATTAGCTCACATGGAATATCCACATGATTTCCCAGGCCGAGTCCCATGATGAGACACTTCGAGGTGGGAATAGTGTAACAGCAAAGTAAAGTAAGGGAGAAATCCGTACTGTCCTACTGGCAATCTGGCTTTCCAGCGATGCAATATATCATGAGACGCGCTCACTAGTTCAGCAACGTCGTGCGTGGTCAGTGGCTTGGTTTTTGACCGGGATGTATTTTGCTGATGCAGTTGATGGCAGATCAATGATTTGCTACATGCGCATTTATATTTTTTCGTCCGGCATAATTTGATATACTTTAGTATATTTCTGTTAACTCATTTCCGAATCTCTCCTTCTCAACACGTATGTACCAGAACTTGACACTTATGATATTATTCTCCTGTTCTGGCTTAAAGACAATGTAATATGGTTCATCACCAACACGATATAGCTATAACACAATCAAATCTGCGTCATCGCCAACTAAAATTATGGACGAGTTGTCCTAATACTTTGTAAATATACATTTTGTCTACTGGTAAGTCAACAAAATGGACAAAAGTCCATTGGAATATTTTCTACCAAATCACACTTTTTTTCCTTCCCCGAAAATTGCATTTCTTTCCATCTACTCTCTTGCTATTTTTTCTGTAATTTAGAATGCCTTACCAGATATAAAAATGGACAAACAATTATTTCTTTTGCAATTAGTTCCGGGTAGGACTTTTCAGACATTTTCCCCTAGCCTTCGAATATTAGAAGTTACAACATGATGTTACATGTTCAACGATTCAGACATTACACATTGGTGTTACATGTATACTACGAATCAAATGTTACATTAGTGCTACCGTACTTTGCTATTATAGTTATTGTTAGGTATCTATAATTCAACTGCTTCCTTTGATCTCGTATTATTTTGACAATTATAAATTATAAGACGCGAGATTTGTAACTAACGGAAGAAATAAACATTCAATACATAAATGAAACAGTTCTTATAAAATCAAATTCGAACCAATCATTTTATAAGTGGTTGATTTTTTTATCAATTAAAACTGACCTTTTACTCCATAACTTTTTGTCACTGGTGTGACCAACTTCAATGACACAGTTATCATGAGTTATTGGGCGTAATTGTAGGGTATTGAATGACTCCTCGACAAAGATAAACAAAGTAGATTAAACCCGATCAGATGATAACTGTTTGATCAGTTTGATAGAAGACACACACTGGAGACCTACGTTATAATAACCGATCTCCCGGGAAGCTATTCAAAGTAATTCTATACATGGTTAGATATATCGGGAAACATTCGATTAAACAAATCCAGTCTTACTTATTGGGTTTTATTAAATAGTTTCTGTCAGGGATCTGGGATTAAGGTGAAGTTTATGTTACGGGCAAGCACGGAAAAGTGCAGAGCTTACAGGTAAATTTAGGAGTTCAAATATGGACGCCCGTTTGTCCTCATTTACCAAAGTTTGGTTTATAGGTAGATTCAGATCAGGAAGTTCGTTTGTCTTTCTATAACAAGCTGAATATGGGAGTGGTTGGGGATAAGTATGGCAAGCCAACTTTACAATATTTTTGAATCTGTAAAAGAAAAAGGGATACCTTTAACTGTTTTAGAGACATCTTAAGTGTAAAAGAGATCAGATGAGATATTGCTACAGTTTTTAAGATGTAACCTTTATTGATAGAGCTATCTCTGATAGGTATTAAATGTTAAAGTGGCTTGCCATAGATTAGAGTCAAATGATGCTTCTTCTCATCGTACATAACTTTCTGTTGGTTATGGAAAACCAAACAGCTTCGAACATGCACACTAAACAGTTACAATGTCATCATCAATACAATGCATATTAGTCGGGTACAACTAGCCGAAGTTAGTATATAATTGCGTTGAAATAGAAAAGCATTATTTGTCCATTTCATTACAAAGAGGACAGGTTTTGGCTTTTCTCCTTTACATGGACACACCGTCTATCGTATCTGTCGGCAAATCAAGACAAAAAGTAACAGCTACATGCACATACTACAAATCTTCATTCCTTAAACAACACTTCTACTTCAACAGTGAGGTCCAAGGCGACATACTCAATGGTGATTTAAATCAAACAGAACATCTATCGTACATTATGTGAACTTAATATTTAAGAGGTGCCCCGATGATAGAGCTGTTTACCTGTCGAAGTTGTCACTGGTCTAAATGCAATCTTATAAGTTTGAAATAGTTATGTTGATTTGGGTTACTTCAATTCGTCATGTACTATTTTGTAATCGCTCAACTGGTTAGATTCAGTAAAGATGAATTAACGTATGAAAAGTATCTACGCGAACAACCCAGACATTATCTATGCTGATTACACTGGGTCTCCGTTTTCCATTTCTCAAT